CAACACCCTTATTGTGTGCCAAATATTTGGTTCTTTATCTATAGTTCCTTTTTCTTTATTACCCCAAAACTCCCCGGGTGCAACTAAAAACACCTAAATGTAAAACAATGTGCTTCTGTGAAGACAGATGAGATGTGAAACTTCAGAACAAACACTATGTATACAACTACCCATCTTCCATCCCATCAGGGCCTTCTCTGGGCCCAGAAGTGAAAAGAAACGCCCTCATAGACCAATGCAAACCCCCTTAGCTCTTGTTGTCCTCAGAAAAATTCCCATGGACACCAAGAATCCTCGTAACCAGATGCCATGTGTGTGGCTCATCCCTGACAGTGAAATTCCAAAGGTGCCATACACAGTGACTACGCATGGCCAAATCTTCCCTGGGCCCAGCCTCCTGAACCCCCTTGGAAAACATACAAACACAGCCCACATCCACAATACAAAATGAAACCCTCGCTAAGTGGCGACAGAGGGCCTGCCTCACCCCTCTCTCATTCTTCCCCCACCAAATAACACACACCCCACAGAAGATAGTTCTCGCTACAGCACGAAGGGGAGGATGAGGTAGTAACAACCAGGTGAGACCCTCGCTTGTCAGCTAACCTTCAAATAAAACGCAGCAGGAAGAAGTGCACAAAAGCCATCTCCCAGCAAGGAGGGAAGATTAATAAACAAAGAACAGGGCAGCACAACGGCAGTGAAATGTAAGCTGGTATTTTCACTTCCTTGAGGATACTCCTCCTGCTTATAAACAAACATGGTCCACTGGGGCCAGCTGCGGAGGAGGGGGAAAGGAAGGGGTCCACGGGAGCAAGGGCTCTTAAAACTAATAGTTTTAATAAGACCCCCAACGTAATGCCAGCCAACACTCTTCTTGTCTCATAGACAGGGAGCTGGGCCCCAGGGCGGGTCGGCCTTAGGACTCTGATGTTGGGTTCAGACCTATGCCAGGGACAGAACCCAACTGTGCATCCAGCCCAAGATCTTTCCTCTCACAATTCAGCTTTAACCTTCACCCAGCTCTGACCCTGTACCACACCGCAGTGCCAGGAAATAACTCCCAGCCAATCTGAACCCTCCATTAACAGGATCATTTTCTGCATTCTACTTTTTAAAAGCATGCCCCAAGAAAAGGAAAGCTTGTATTTAAGAATTTGTGGTCTTTTCTTCTCTCCCCCATTTGCTTTGCAACAGTGGGGAAACAATCCGAGGACAGCCCACATTGCCTCCAGTCTGCTCTGGACATCGCTGACCCAGGGCACACGCACCTCATGCTCCAGTCTCAGTCCTAGCACTTCGCCAATCTTCAGCCACCAAACTAAGATTCTGTTTTAAATATCACTCTGTACTTTCTAAAAACTAACATTTTCTTAAAAATGTGCAATGTGGAAATAAGGGTTTTTTTTTTCCTGCATAGCTATCAGTTATTTAGAAAATTTGTTGAAATAAGACTGTTTTTCCCCATGTAGTGAATTGGAGTTTTAACCCCAGCAGTGGTGGGATGCGCTGCATCTAACATTCCGGGCCCCGGCCAACATTCTGTCTATCCTTGGAATAAGTGCTTCAAAACAGAGCATTCTCCTAAGAAGGCACAGGGCAACCTCTATGTGGCCCTCCAGTGCACAGGAACACATTCTGCCTAGTTGAAATTCATTCCTGCCTAGGTCCTGAGTTGTTTGTAAAGAAAACAAAGTAACTTAAAGAAGTCACGCAGCCCAGTCCTAAATGTTCTCATGTTCCCATGCAGATACCAACCAGACTCCAACAACGCCATCCTTGTTACTTGTTACTGCACTAAGTATCTCTCACTTGATTCTTCCTAAACTAAGCCAAGGGAGTTAGGAAGAAGACAGGTGGCAAGAAAGCAGCATCTTCAATGGGTTTTCACTCCAGTATCTTCTCCCAGTGGTCACAAGCCTGTCCTGCACTCCACTGACTTCCATCTCCTGGGGATAATGCTGACCAACTTCCCTGCTTGTCTCAAGGCCTCTGATTTCCTTCAACATGACCAACTTTTACTGAGTGCTCTCATGTGCTAGGTGCCTCAGAAAAGAGCCTTGTAAGGAGGCAAAGGGTTGGAAAGGGCAATAAGCCACAATCACTGACCTAAAAACACTCACAGACATCGACAAACACCAGGTGGCTGTTCCTAGATGCCATCAGCTTGTCTTAAGGCCTCTAGTTAGAAGGAAGACACTCCTCTCCATCCTTGGAACACAGTGATAGGTCTTCCTTAAATGTTCTTTGATGTGACTGTTTAGAAAACCATGGAAAGATTGCTGACAGGAAATGGACTTGTGAACAAAAATCACAGGACTCCATACCAGAGGTCTTGGGAGCTGGAAAGTGATCAATTTAGCACCACTGTCAAGGCCAAGGTCCAGTGGAAAAGGTATCGGACCAAAAAATCCAAGGCCTACGTCTTTTACCGGCAAACCTCATGTCCTTGGGCAGGGCACAGTCCCTCTGAAGTTCTACGGATACAAGGGCAGGCAGGAGGAGCGGGGGACAGGAGCAGTAGTTTTTACTAGTGAAACCCATATATTTTGCAAATTCTATTTCACCTAGAACCCCAAGTTGCTTGTGCTGAATCAGGGTGTGGGAGCCCAGAGGTGGGTGGCCCTCAGGGAAGGCAGTTTAAAAGTCACTGGAGTAGGTTGAGAACCCCTTCCAGAACTCTTACACCCACTTAGATACCTGGCAAGACAAAAGAAATTATCATTGACTTACTGCTCTTTGTGGTGCTTGGCAATTTGTATACCATGCATCACTGAAATCTTTGCAACGGCAACATGAGGTAAATAGTCTGTGAACTGGGGTCTCTTGTAAACCATGATGTGTTGACAAGAAGCAGAACTGGGATCTGAACACCGGTTTTGTGACTCCTAATGTGGTATTCCTACTCCTTGTGAAGAGGTATATGGAAGTTTAGGCTGAGTGGATAGTTTCCTTCAACTATAAATATAAATGTGCATATACACATATGGAAAACCATCTTAAAGAACACACGTCTCAAAATTACCATTAGCTATCTCTGTGTGGTAATAATGTGAATGACTGTCAGTCTATTTACCTATATTTTCTAATTTTCCTATAATGAACAGGTATGATTTACACAAAACCACTGCTGCTAATGAAAGTGGTTTTCATAACTACCAACTGACACTCCCATGTTGGTTTCCTATGGAGAACTAGGGATTGGGGGGCACAGGTGGTATCTCTGACCTTCTGGAGCTGACAGTGGGAAGAACAATCCTAAGTCCCACAAACTCTCACTTGAGAGGGTCCCAGGCTGACTTGAGGGGCAGTTCTCATGGTCATTTAAATTCTCTAAAGCTCCACCTCTGGGGAGTGTGGTTGTTTTAGAAAGTAAAAGCAAGTCCCTGAGACCCCTCCCAAATATATACCTCCCTCTCCGGACCCCTCAACTGCTTTGTACAGTTGGGGTATGTGAATAAAATTAAAAATGCTCACATGGGCTGGGAGCCCGATAGTATTTACAGAGAGTGAGCCCTCCAGCCGGGCTGATTCAAGCTCTCTGGCCCCACCTGAGGCCCTCCCAGAAGCCACTGGCAAATATAAAGATCACAGCACAACTTTAGGAGAGCAAATATTACCCTGAAGGCAAGACAGGCTTTGGTCAGGCATGAGGTGGGGCAAGGCGTGCCAGCTTCTTCCCTGTATTATTCACGCCGGTTCTGCCCGCAGAAATCTCTTAAATATTTAACATGCCGCCTCGAGGTACAGCACAAACCCCCAGAAGCCTGCAACAGCTGTGGAGAGGCCTGCACGGAATGACAGGCTTGAGGGCTGAGAGACACATACACTCTGCCTTTGGTAGGAAAGCCCAGAATGGTGGCCAGGAGAGATGATGCTGAGAAAGACCTGAGAAGGCCGCCCCTGGGTGCCTCTTGGAAAATCCGTCAAGCACTGTAGGAAATGGGGAAATGTTTCAAAACGGTAGGGAGCGATGGTGCCTGATCAACAGGGCTCCAGAACCCCTCTTCCTCAGACAAAGAAAAAGCCTGAGGTACACCTCCTACCCCAGCTCCCCAGACCCATTTCAGCCCCGACTCTTCTGAGCAGGTGTCAAAATCTGTCCGGAGTCTGGCGAGAACGGTTATGAAAGAAGAATTGGAACAGCCACGTCCAAAAAGGGATAAATTCATGAGGGAAGGAGCTCTTCAAATGTCTACTCAGCTCTGGGGCTTGACAGAGAAAAACGACCCCGAGCCCACACCCAATGACTTCACACAGGCCTCGCCCCAGATGACTCTGAGCTCTCCGGCAAGGCCTGGGAGGTGCGCTAGCCGCCATCCAGGTAGCTGTCACTTGGAAATTTCCCGTCAATTCCTGGAGATGCGCTTTCTCTCTCTCCTCTGTCAACACCCTCTACCCCACCCTACCCACTCCGCCAAAGGAATCAGACACCGGGGACTTGCCTTTGCCGCTGTCAATTTGAGAAACCTAAAAAGGAGTGTTTTCAGCCCCATTGAGAGCTCCGCCTCCATCTCTCCGCCCTTCTGCGCGCTGACCCCTCCAGGCATCGCCCCAGGTTCCTCTGGGCGGTCTGTCAGTTTTGCTTGACAAAAGCGCGGCGGCCAGCGGGGTACGGCGACGGGCGACCCTTGCCAGCTTATCTCCCAGAGGAGAGAGAAGCTTGTCATCGCGGCGCGCCCATTCGGGGCTTCTGCAAATCCCACCACCCGCTGAACAAAGCGGCAGGGGCGCGCCGAGACGAGCCCCCAGCCGAGGCTCCGTGCGCCCCAGCCCTCGCGGCCTCATCCACCGGCCCCGCGCGCCCGGGCGGGCCCCGCAGGGCAGTGGCCGCGTCCAGCACCGCCCGCACGCCAGCCGGCGACCTCAGCAGCTACTGTACCTACTAAAATTAGCGGCCGCCGGGTATTAATAGCCGCAGCGCCGGGGGGCGGACACAGCCCGGGGCCGGGGGCGGAGAAGAAGGGAATGGAAGGGACTCGGGGAAGAAGGCCACTTACACCACGAGTCTGGAGATGATCCATGACACCATGGCGGGCGGTGCGGCTCGCGCGGCGGGGCGGCCGCGGGTGGCTGGGCGGCTGGGCGGCTGGGCGGCTGGGCGGCTGCGGTGCTCCGGGCACGTCCGTTCGCGCACGGCCGCCGCCGCCAGACTGAGCGCGCCCGCCGCGCTGCCCGGCGCTCGCGCGTCGGCGCAGCCGCGGCACGTTGCGGCGGCGGCCCCAGCCCCCGGGGCTCGGTGGGCCCGCGGCGATTGGGCGGCCGCGGATCGGGCACCAGCTCGACCCGCCCCGCCCCACTTGACCCGGCCCGCTGCTGATTTCGGGCGGTTCCTCCCCGCGTGCTGGAGCACTAGCCACTCAAGTGGAACCCTGAGGTGGTGCGGTTGGCAGGGCAGGAGCCCGGGTGTCTCCCTCCCCTCGGTGTTAGGGTGCGAAACTGGACCTGGACTTCGGGAATCTGTCTACCTTCCCTGGTTGGGATTCAGTCATCCCTTAGGTATAGCGCGAGCCTCGTGACGGATTTACCTGTATCCAGACCCGATCCCTCAACAAGGCATTAACTGCATAAGAAACAAACCCAGGCGTGTGCCTCTCCCATTGAAAATTCTAGAGTTCCTACATAATCTGGTCTCTGCCTACAAACTCACTGCCATCACCATTCCCCAAACATCCCTGTAGCTCTTTTTACTTTTGCATTTTGGGTTTACAAATATGCTCTTCCCTCTCCCCTGTTCATGCTGTACTCCATGCCTAATCTTTTTCAAGGCTCAAATAAAAGGTTACTTTCTAAGGAAGTCCTTTCATTAGGGGGCTGCTTGAGCATTTTGGTGTGGAATTGGCTCCGAGGTACAATATGGCCAAGAGGGAGCTAGAAGTTTCTATTTGCACAGCACCAGTGTCCTACTGAGCCATCTTGGAGCCTCAGGCGAAAGGGAAATTGTGCACCCGATACACACTCTTTATTTGTATTTAAACGCATACACATTGCATCCTGGCGACAGAGCTCAGCTGGTTGGAGCATCGTTCTGTGCACTGAAGTGTTCCGGGTTTGATTCCAAGTGAAGGCACATACCTAGGTTGTGGGTCCTACCCCAGGTCAGGGCACACACAGGGGCAACTGATCCATCTTTCTCTCTCACATCGATGTTTCTCTCTCTCCCTCTATCTCTAAAATCAATGGAAGCATGTCCTCAGGTGAAGATTAAACATAGTGTTTATTTATCTTGATTATTGCATTTTGTGGCATTCCCTTAATTTTTGCCCCTGAGGCAAGTGCCTCACTCTCCTCCCCCAGCACCCTTATTACATAAATTCTTGTCCACATTATTTTCTTCTGCTCGGAAAGCCTTTGTCCCCTGCTCCTCAACTCTGCTGCTGCCTTCCTCACCTCCCTTTGTGGTCTCTCTAAGAGCACTATTCTCCCTTGCCGATGCGCAAGTCATGTATAATTCAGTGTAGGATGTGAGAGGCACAGGAGAGAGCTAGCTTGGAGTGTTCTTTAAAGGAACCCTACCCAAGACAGTTTCCTAGCAGAAGCTAGAGAACCTCAGATTTTGGCCTAAAGGGGCTGGAAATGGACCACAATAAGGTGACTGCAGATGAGACATCCTCTATGACAAGGGGTCTCAAAAGAACCCATGAAATATCTGTAATTTTTTTAAAATACTGTCTTGACCTAGTTTTGAGACCCTGGCTAGAGGCCAGTTAGTTCCCCTTCTTAGCCAATTAAGTCCACTTCCCCAAACACCTCTCTTATCAGGCTGTCAAATCCGGACCACTATACACCCTCCCTAAGCACCCCAGAGCCAGGTACGAAACAACCAGGGACAGCCCCTGTACTTTAGAGCCCACTGAATTATTCCAACCAGCTAGTCAGACTGCTTGTCCTGCCCTTTTCTTCGTGCAGAAACCAGTCACCCTCTCTCCCTCCGCCTTGTAATCCGCCCCAGTGTTGACCCTGAGTGGCCCCGCATGGCATGTGGTGTTCTGTCCAGGAAACTGTAAGTGTAACAAAACTGCTAAACTTTCTGGTTTCTTTCTCTTGACCTATGTGTAGCCTCACCATATTTTACCCAAGGTAATATGGTTACAACAATACCCCACAGAAAAAACTTGGAATACCTAAGAGGCAGATCAGGATAGTACCAAGCAAACAGGACCTTCCTGAGACCAATTCCCTACCCCTTCCTAGAGAGGCCAGAATATGCTGTTAACATCCTGAGAGGGTGGAAGGAATGCTGTGGTCCAAAGAGATCCTCTTGGTGGAAACACAGAGGAGTTCTATACATGCTGTTTCTCTCCTGGAACACAGGAGAGCTCTCTCTCTCTGTTCCTGTAAATGAAATTCTCAAGTTTGACTATTACACAGAACTGGACATTTTAATTAATGAAATGAGACTATTCATGGGATTAAAATGCCTGGAGGTCTTTCTGTTATCTCAAGAGAAACAGAAAACTAGTGGCACCAACCCCAGACGGCACTCAGGGGTGGGACAAAATATGCCCCACAGAGAAAGCTTTGGTAGACAGAGCTGGGGAAAGAACAAAGAGAGAAGAAATTTACTTTTTCATTTCACTGTATCTCTTTCAGTGTAGCTGTTACAACACATATTGCATATCTCTATCTGAGACCTCCTCCAGTTTGTCCTTGACCCTGGAAAACGTGAGGTCAGGAAATAGATACAGCCTTCTAAACAATGGGATTCTTATATAGCCTTATTAGTTGGTTCACTTGAAGTCCTTTTTCACACGAACTACTGTTATTTTTTGATGTTTTATTGTTTATGCTATTACAGTTGTTTCATTTTCTAGCCCTCCACCCAGCCCACCCCAACTTCCGCAGTCAGTCCCCACACGGCTGTCCATGTGTGTAAGTTCTTTGACTAATCCCTTTACCTTCTTTCAGTCGGTTCCCACCTCCTCTCACCCCTCTGACAGCTGTCAGCCTGTTCCATGATTCCATGCCTCTGGTTCTATTTTGCTCATTAGTTTATTTTGTTCATTAGATTCCTCTTATTAGTGAGATCACATGATATTTTTCTCTCACCAACTGACTTATTTCACTTAGCATGAGAGTCTCCAGTTCAATCCGTGCTATCACAAAAAGTAGGAATTCCTTCTTTTTTTCTGTTGTGTAGTGTTCCATTGTGTAAATGTACCACAGATTCTTTTTCCACTCATATACTGGTCAGCACTTAGGCTGTTTACAAATCTTGGCTGTTGTAAATAGCACTGCTGTGAACAGAAGGGTGCATAAATTCTTTTGAATTGGTGTTTTAGGATTCTTAGGTATATTCTCAGCAGTGGAATCACTTGGTCAACAGGCAGTTCTACTTTTTAATTTTTTTATTTACTTCTAGAGAGAGAAGAAGGGAGAGAGAATGAGAGGGAGAGAAATAGCAATGTGTGAGAGATACATTGATTGGTCGCCTCTCACAGCCCCCATTAGGAGTCTGGCCCACAACCCAGGCTTGTGCCCTGAATGGGAATCAAACTAGTGACCTTTTAGTTTGCAGGCTATTACTCAATCTACTGAGCCACACCAGCTAGGGCCTATTTTCGAATTTTTGAAGAAAAGACCATGCTGTTTTCCACAGTGGCTGCACCAGTCTGCATTCCCACCAACAGTACACTACGGTTCCCTTTTCTCCACATCCTCGCCAGCACTTGTTGTTTGTTGATTTATTATCGATAGTCATTTTGGCAGATATGAGGTGATAGCTCATTACAGTTTTAATTTGCATCTCTATGATTACTAGTAATGTTGAGCATCTTTTCATATGTCTATGGGCCATCTCTCTGTCCTCCTTGGAGAAGTGTCTATTCAGGTCCTTTGCCCATTTTCTAATTGGATTGTTTGTCTTCTGGGTATGGAGTTGTATGAGCTCTTTATATATATATTTTTTGGAGATTAAACCCTTGCCCAATGTATCATTGGAAATATGTTCTCCCATACAGTCAGTTCTCTTTTCATTTTGATATTGGTTTCTTTAGCTGTGTGGAAGCTTTTTAATTTAGTACAGTCCCATTTGTTTATTTTTCCCTTTATTTCCCTTGCCCTAGGAGATATAAAATATTCATTAAAAATATTGCTACATGGATGGGAGTAAAAGAGAAAACTGTACTTGAACAACAATTGAAATAAAATTTAAAATATGAAAAAAATTTAAAATAAAAGTTGCTTTAAAAAATATTGCTACATGAGCTGTCTAAAATTTTACTTCCTATGTTTTCTGCTAGGGTTTTTATAGTATCACAACTTATATTTAAGTCTTTTATCCATTTTGAGTTTATTCTGGTGTATGGTATATGTTGGTGGTCTAGTGTCATGTCTTTGCATGTATCAGTCCAGTTCTCCCAACACCATTTATTGAAGAGACTGTCCTTACTCCATTGTATGCTCTAGCCTTCTTTGTCGAATATTAATTGACCATAAAGACATGGCTTTGTTTCTAGGCTCTCTATTCTATTCCATTGATCTATGTGTATGTTCTTATACCAGTACCAGACTGTTTTGATTACAGTTGCTTTGCAGCATAGTTTGATACCAGGTATTATGAGCCCTCCAACTTTGTTCTTCTTTCTCAAGATTGCTGAGGCCATTCGGGGTCTTTTTTGGTTCCACTGAACTGCTGTTTATAGTGGATGCTTATTATCTGTTTTTGCCTGCACCCTTTCCCCCTTCTTCTGGGAAGTCCTTTCCATTTGGTATTGGAGAATGATTCTTCCCACACTCCAGTCTTTAAAAGTGCCATGTCCTCACATGTTCTTACTACCTTGATTGGTTCCTGAGTGATCACTGGACATAAGCTGAGCCAAAGTTTTCCCCCCTAGGATTTTTAAAGTTGAAGCACCTACCACTGTGGGAATTTTCACCCATTGTAAACAGCTAGAGAAACAAAGAAATGCATCCAGCAACTGCTTTCAAGCATTGGACAACAGGCAGCATGGGCTTGTGATAACTATGACAAGGGAAACAAATGATGTGAGTTTTATAATTGCCACAGATTGCTGTTTCAAAGCAGGTATCACTGCTGGAGGGGGAATCCAAGCAGATTGCTGTCTCAAAGCAGCTATCACTATGGGAGGGGGAATCCAGGGTCCAGCAATCTCACAGAGTTCTGGAGACAGAGATCACAGTTCTGGAAAACTGAAGCAGTGGGAATTTGTGGAGCAGAGTATCAGTGAGGAGGGCATGGAGAGAGAGCTCCAGAGATCTGG